TCATTCGCTTTTATCTACGTGATGTGACGGCTCGTTCCATGACATTCTGTCTTTTGTGTTTTACAGAATGAATATTGTTGTTTCATGGAACTCTGTTTAACTCACATCTGTCTGCATGCTTCACAGTGTGAGATGTGTTATCAGTCACAAGTTGTGTCTGTTATTTTGGTTCTATTGTCACTAATCAGTTCATGACTATTGTTACCAATCAGTTCATTTGATTAATAATCAGTCATTTGTTATTATTAATCGGTCTATACTGCTCAGCCATGAACGCATAGTTACACAACATGCGTCTGTGCATGGCTCACATAATTACGCAATGCGTAATTACGCACATAGGGAGCTGAGTGACAAGACGTTTTTTGGGCAAGCTTCTGCTTCATACGGTGTTCGAATGGACCCAGTGAGGCGAGGACCACATCTTCTTCTCCCTTAACCCACTAAGCGAAAGCCTTAAAGGGCGAAGCCTATACGAAATAGAACGTTGGTTACGTACTGTAACCCCAGATTCTATGAGTATAGGCGTAGCCCTTTAAGCGTCGGGCCTCACTGGCTCCTAAATGGCTGAAGAAAAAGCTATTTTGGGAGCCGATTTCCCGCTCTTAACGTAATTTATACGGACCGGGTGGGGCCCACACAGCAGGTGGGCATGGACTAAATTTTTCAGTGCTAATGCTACGCATAACGGGATAAACCCACTAAGCGAAGGCCTTAAAGGGCTACGCCTATACTCATAGAATCTGGGGTTACAGTACGTAACCAACGATTTGACACATTAGCTGAACACAAACAGGAAACATTTAAAGAAGCTCTCATAAACCTCTTGCTAGATTTGAAATAGTGCACGGCAGCAAAAGAAAAGGGCTGTTTTAGCCTCTGTCAGTGTGTTCACGTCTCCGTCTGTTTAAAACTCAAACCTAAAGGCAGCAGGTGGTTTTTATTGACATTTTTATAAATAAATCATTGTTCGCCTAAAAAAGCGACCCTTTTAGCTAATTGCATCTGTTTTCGGATAAATTCAAGATTTTCATGGTAATCTCTGCTAATTTCAGTCTAATTAACTTATTTCTGCTATTTTCAGCTTGTTCTACTCCTTTCAGCTTTTTCTGCTAGTTTCAGTTATTTCAGCTACTATTTAGCCGTTTTTTGTTGTTTTTATTTATTTATTTATTTGCTAATTTTGGCCTTTTAAGCTAATTCCACATTTTTTGCACTCATTTAAAAAATTTTCAGCTTAATTCAGCAAAAATGTTCTCTCTATTTCCTTCTTATAATTTAAGCTTCTTTTTGCTTTTTACGTTACTTTACAGCTGTTTTTTTTTTTTTTTTTTTTTTTTTTTTTTTTTTTTTTGCTAATTTAAGCTTTTGTCAGGTAATTTCCACTTTTTTGGGCTCATTTATGCTTCTTTCAGCATAACTGGGTAAACTTTTTTCTGCTTTCTTCTGCTAATTTAAGCTTGTTCTACTTTTCAGCTAACTTGTTAGCATTTTTAGCTAATTTCAGCTGTTTTCAGATCATTTCCACTTTTTTGTGCCCATTTCTGTTTCTTTCAGAATTTTATTTTTTCCTGCTTTTTCTGCTACTTTAAGTTTGTTCTACTCGACTACCTTTTCTAAGCATTTTTAGCTTATTTCAGCTTGTTATGCCCCTTTCAGCTTTTTTCTGCTAATTTCAGCTTCTCCTGCCTTTTCAGCTATTTTTGCTCATTTCATCTTTTTTAACTAATTTCCCAAATTTTGTGCTAATTTCTGCTTCTTTAAACTTAATTCAGTAAATGTGTTATTTCTGTTTTCTTTTGCTAACTTAGGCTTTTTCTTCCTTTTCAGCTACATTTCAGCATGTTTTTAGTTAATTTCTGCTGTTTTTATTAGCAAGTTCTTCAGCAATAAGCATTAACACTGCATTTTCGCAGGAATTGCAGTGTCTCTACTTAGATTTTTGTCTAGAACTGACTACATTTAAGATTCATGATGGTGCCACAGCCAACAGACTCAAAGAAACACAAAACGGCTATAATTCAGTCACTTTCACAGCTAAAATTTGATGTGGTAGTAGCTGAGAGTCAGCTCAGGTATGTTCTTGCGGACCGTGCAGAGCAACTTGAGGTTCCTGTCGAGGAGCTTGAGTGCGAGCTCATAGGTGGTGAAGAAGTTGTCACACGTGATGTTGCCGCAGTGGGCCGGGTCATCTCCGAGAACCGCTGTGAGGTCCAGGACGATTGGGGGGGGGGGGGGGGGGGGG